TATTCAAAGCAAGCGCTGCGTTCGTAGCTACTCGAACTTAATAGCATTTTCGTAGATTTCACGAAAAATTGGACTACGATGGATTCTATGATAGCCTTGATTAGTTCGTACGATTATGACTTTCGGATCGATTATGGATGGGAACGGAACCTCAGTTGGGTTGCCGATGGACAGCGCCACTGAAATGAAATTGTTTTTTATTATGAATAGCAATAATTAAGTTTCTTAAAGTTCAAAGTGGTACAATTTAAAAAAAATAGTTGAAAAAAGAAATAAAGAATCTCAATTCAAATTTCCCGGCAGCCACAAGAATGCAGTTGCCAATATAGCAACTTAGTTGCCCGCTTTCAGTTGCTAGTTGCCATCGGTAATACCATTTCAGCCACTGGCCAACCAACTGAAGTTCGGTTGTCCTCCGAAATCAACCCATAAAATCGGAATCGAATATGCATGCACGTTCTGCAGAACGATAAATATTTTGTAAATGTGTGCTCTGTCCGCTAACGAATTCCAGCCATGTGTGAAATATCGTATGTAAAGCCTCTGTCTGACTTAACGATTGTCAAAGGCTTGCCAGAAGATGTTTCATCATATGTTTTCGGCCATCGTCTTCTTCGAGTAAGTTCATCGATACCAAAAACTTTACAACCTCTATGTGCCAGCAATAGTTGCCAACTTAGTGCTTTAAGCACTAGATTTAGTGCTTTTTGAAAATTAAAACACCAAACAAAATGGTTTAGTGCCTAGTGCCCTTTTTAGTGCTTTTTTTTAACTAAAATTTCTGAATTTACAAGAATCTACAAATTTAAATGCACTAAAATGCAAACCATGATTACAAGATGATAAAAAGATGAAGTTGCAAACCCACGTTCTTGCGTTCTTGTGAAATTGTATTCGCGTTGAAAATGCTAGCACGCAGATAAGTATTTATTTCTTTATTTTCTTGATTATTGATTGATTACACAGTTCGAAAAATTTTATCTCTTTATCTCAGGTGGCAAGAGTGCATCGGTTTTTGTAGATTTTTCGGTGCTGCATCCAAAACTGGCAGCAGAATTTCTCTACCACGTCAGAATTTTGAGATATCCTAACCTCTAAGTGTAAAAACACGGGTTTTCGCAATATTTGGAGTTATATTATAAAACATCAAATTTTTTCGCTCATTTCTACTTAGGGTATCATTAAGTATTACTCTTCCCCTTTAAAATTTAATTTCGTTTGTTGCGATTCGATTGTTTTTTCTCCAGATTTACCAGTTTTAATGTGCAGTACTTCGGTATTACTTCGTAAGCATGAATGGGTATTTATCAGACAACAGCATGAGTTTACTCACTTCCATCTAAACAGTATGAACTCATTGCTGTGATCTCTATAAGGTTAGTGAGAAACACCGTACAAACAGTGAGATTCATAGAAAGTTTTGAAATCAATGTTTAGCTGCAGTGTACATATTTGATTTCAAATATGGCATTGATATACTCTTTCCAAATCAAGTCAAGCGAGTGAAAAATGCTGTTATGAAAAGCAAGTCGAGCAATCGAATGACGCCCATTGACTTCAAACAATTAGTAGAGAATACGACAATTTTGAAAAAAGTGGATATTGATGAAGTATTTTTTTAAATATATTAGTTTTACTAAATTATTTAGTTATGCACCTGACGTACATTTATATAATTAGTCTACAAAAGAAATGCAATGTTACCTCAGAAGACAATGGCTTTATAAGGGACTTTAGTTAAGTTGCTTTATTATTTAAAAACGGTTGCTGTTGTTATACCCGCCAGCAAAAGAGCTCAAGAACTTTACCGAATCTGAGCAAAGGTACACAAAAGGGAAAATGTTTATACCAATTATGAGAACGTTAACTGGGAATTCTGATAGTACAACGGAACCACAAATTGCGGATACACCTTTGTTAACTTCAGACAACTTTGAGCTGTTTTCAGGTCTTCTTAAACAACCTACCTTTGTGAGCAGAACTGATAAAGCTACTGCAGAGCTGCGGCGATATGAAAACATTGAGGTATATTTTCATACGGACTGCTGCATAAACTTAGTCGTAGAGTAATAGCCACTCCTTCAACTAGCGCATCGTCAGAAAGAGTTTTTTCTTCTGCTGGAAATGTTATTTCTGACAAAAGATGCCACCTTTTGTCAAATGATGATGCCCTTAATCAGTTGATATTTTTGCATTATAATATACAGTTAGGAAACCAATAAAATTAACAAAAATTGTCTTTACAAATGTTTTTTCTTTGATACTTTCGTTACAAGCACTTGTTATTTGAATCGAGCACTTGATAGTGTGAATTACTCACTCAACCGACAATGTTTTTTGAATGATATCGCACGTTATGTTTGGAAATAAATGAGTGCGAGTGTGTGCAGATGTGAAAAGAAAGCGAGTGACTTAAAATGTAATTTGAATGTATCCATGCAGCTCTCTGGTATTTATTTATACATGTAAATAGTGTTTATTTTTTTCCTTTTGTTTACCACAAACTGTTATGAAAAAAGAGTATCCTTTGATTAAAAAAAAATTTAGTGCTTTTAGTATGGTAAAACGCTCGTTTTTCCAAGGTTTGGTGCTTTTTGAAATTCAAAAGTTGGCAACACTGGTGCCAGCAGCCCTTAGTGTTTTTCCAATGACATGGTACTATTGCACTGTTAATAACCAAATTTAGCCGCAGTTGCATTCACACGTGATATAATAGCTAGTGTCGGCAAGCTGTGGGAATGCCCAGGAGATGGCATTTGTTCAGCTATCGAAATCATTACACCGACGGCGGTGGGCAGTTCTGCTGGAACATATTTATTTAAAGATATAAAATTTAAAATGACAGACCTTATTCCCGGCCGATTTGGGAGACCACCCTTGGTCACGACCAGAACGCATTTACCAAGAGGAAAAACCGCAGGGATTGCAGTAGTTCTTGCAATCACCGTTGATGATGCTGTGCTTGTAATTAATAGTCTGCAAATACAGAAAATTGCATTAATGAAATGTTATACACATCAAATAAATAAATTTCAATAATTTGTTTACCATTTCACAACCGAATTACCAAGAAATAGAAACTCACCGCGATGCGATACAGAAATCAAAACCAACAGGGCTGCATCTTCTCGGTAAATAACACAAGCGCTTCGAGCAATCTGATCCGCAAAATTATTTTGTGAAAAATAATAGTTGAAAAGAGTTTTTACACATGATTATCACATTAACTCATAAGTGCAAATTATTGTGATTATTTTTAGTTGAATATAATTGTATTACCTTAGACTTTTTTTAATGTTTTCTAATATTAATTCTTTTGGGACGCAAAAGCAACCATGCGTCCAATTTCTTGTGGGGAAATTTGGTTCCCATAAAGGACTTTCACCACGAAACAGCTACAAAAACAAAAACCTTTTCTACTGGTATACTGTGTACTTCTGTGGATATTTTGTCTCTTTGAGAG